GGACTTGATCCTCAACGAGCCTCCAATCCTCATGAAGTCAGAGCACTGGCATCCATGCTAGCTCTGCACGGAAACTGCTCCATCTCAACAGTAATGGAGGGCTGCTTTTGGAGATCGGAGATGGTGTTTGCCAACCACTACCTCAGAGACATGGCTACAGATGACGTCTCTGGCATACACCAGTTTGGGCCCCTCGTTGTAGCACAACAATTGGCGGTACCTCAAAGACGCTGAGATAATCTCAACCCTTTGTCACGTGACTTGCAAAAGCCAACACTCAGCAGAGTACGGTTTTAAAGTCCATGCGCACGTCTAGGACAGACTAGCATAAGTGATGGACCCTGTACTTGTAAGGACTTACTTGTACACGAAGTAGGGTCACTTCTCCACTTGATGCAAGCATCAAGAGATGGAGTTGTATAAATCCACACAGAATGTCAGGAGAAGATTTCCAAGATAAATCTGACAAGTTGTGGTCCCCCCACTCATCAGAGGAAGCTGGAAGAAAGGACAAATGCCATTAGAAGTTCCCAAGGGGGTATAAGGATGTAAATCAGCAGAGAATCCAGAGTGGCTTGACCCACCACCGTTTCCGTCAGATTCTACAAGCAATTAAGCATGAGTCAGGATAAGGAAAAATATGTAATTTTCTGACTAAAATTGATATTTTATACTTATCCTGACTCATGAGGTTAGCCCTCCCAACCTCCCATCATAGCACTCTGGATTTCCCTGCGAATCCAACTGTCGGGCTCAAACTAACGGAGAGAGTGACAAGCATGGCCGATCATGTGACCACTTTCGCGCCAAAAGATGGGCAAAAGGGAGACAACTGGGGTGAGTGATTTTACGTCCACTTTTTTGAAGGGAGCTTCAAAAGGGGATTCAAGTGTTCCACTATAGTTCGCAAGAAGAAGACAAGCAATTAAGCATGAGTCAGGATAAGTATAAAATATCAATTTTAGTCAGAAAATTACATATTTGATCCAATGGAATTCATTGCTCTGTCTCAGTGCATGGAAAACTACTACTTCGCAATGCAATGGTTGGAAAGTCAAGCTGGGATGAACTTCTAGATCAACAAATTGAACAGGAAACGGACCAATGGAAAAGTTCTCTCCAGCAACTACAGGACCTTAAGATTCCAAGAATGTTTGTTCCCACCTCCTATGACCTCTCCAGTAGAAAGGAAGTACTGGTTTATTGTGACGCTTCAGAGCAAGCCATAGCAGCAGTTTCGTACCTTTGTGTCACAGATAACACTGGGCAGTCACATACAGGTTTCATACACAGGAAAGTTAAAGTTGCGCCAACTCATTGACATACGATACCCCGATTGGAACTTTGTGGAGCTGTATTAGCAGTGGATATTGCAGAATCTGTTACATCTTGTTCATTCTTCAAGAAGTTCATCAAGAACAGTTCTTTCTAGAAATCAAGTCACTCAAACAAAAGTCATCTTTGTCAAAAGACAGCCGGTTACCTGGTCTTAATATTTTCTTAGATGAATCTGGACTTCTACGTGTTGGCGGATGAATACACCTGGTACGACACTTTCATGCATTAGTGCAACATTAGGGACGCCATTCTACAGTTGGAGCCGTGAGGAGTGCTGGATATTGGATTGTCGGAGGTAAGCAACTGATTTCATCTTTGATCTACAAGTGTGGGAAGTGTATAAAATTGAGAGGAAAACAGGAAACTCAAAAAATGGCAGATTTGCCTTCAGACCGTCTGAAATCATCACCGCCGTTTACATTTGTAGGAGTTGACACATTCGGACCTTGGAATATCTCCTCAAGAAGAACACGGGGTGGTTTAGCACAAAGTAAATGATGGGTGCTGTTATTTTCTTGTCTTGTATGCAGAGCGGTTCACATCAAATTGATCGAAGAGTTGAGTTCTTCATCTATTGTAAATGCAGTCCGCTGTTTCATCTCGATTCGTGGAAAGGTTAAAGAATTCCGATTGGACAGAGGGACAAATCTTGTGGGCGCAGTTGAATATGAAGAAATGAGGAAATTTCTATTGGGCAACCAGTCTGAGTGGAATTTTAATCCGCTTCACGCCTCACACATGGGAGGAGTGTGGTAGAGGATGATCGGTGTAGTTCGCGGAATCTTAGACAGTTTGTTGTTTAACCAATCAACAAGGAGCCTAACACATGAAGTTTTATGTACTTTCATGGCAGAAGTGTCTGCAATAGTGAATGGTAGACCTATCACACCAATATCAAGTGACCCAGAGTCCCCATTTATACTGACCCCACAAACTCTGTTGACACAGAAATCTACTCAGGAAGTGGACTGTGATTTTGCTAATTCAGATAATCTTGGAAACCTGTATAAATCACAATGGAGACAGGTACAAGCCATGGCAGGGACATTCTGGAACATATGGCATCGTGAATATCTTCACACTTTGCAATATAGGAGGAAATGGAAGGAAGGTCGACCTGACCTGATTATCGGAGACTTTGTTTTGGTTTGTGACAAAAATGTACATAGAAATGAATGGCCAGTTGCTGTTATTACTGATCCTATTCAAAGCAGTGATGGACATGTCAGAAAAGCTGTTGTGAAGTTGTTTCAGAATAATAAGATGACCTATCTTACCCGTCCTATCACAGACTTTGTCCTTTTGATGTCAGCCTAGATCCTTCCGGGTACTCAGCTTGTGATGTATGATCTCCGGAGAGATCGCTGCTGTCTGTTGCGTTAATATGAACGCTTTGAAATGTATAATTTTCCAGCAATTTGTCGTTTCATGTTTTGGGAATCTTATTGTGGGTATGTTTGTATTTTATTGTTAGGCCATTATTTTTGTAATATCTGAGTTATCAGATATTAGGCGGGGAGTGTGCTGTATTTCACAGGGAACTTTTTCACTTGCACCGTTTGTCAAGGGTACTTTTTTGTGGAAGCAACTTTCTCGTGCCTCTTGTTTTCGAACTTTCGATATGGAAAGCCGCTTGGCCAGGACTCTCTCCCCTTTTTGGGCTACAAATCCACAAAGTGTATGTACTTTTAATATGGTCATTGCAGAGTTACCTCTTGTGCATCTACTGAAGTTATATTATTCTCATTTACATGTAACAGTGTAACAAATTCAGGTTTGGGCTGTTTATGCATTTATTCAGCAATTATTGTGACTTATGCATATTTTGGGGAAATTTACTCTATTAGGGAAAACTTTGAATGTGTGTGAACTTTAGGAACTTTGTACTTATTGTGTTTTGTACATTTCAGTCTTACCCTATATCTTCCATATCTACAAATGAAGATTACCAATAAACGATAAACTGGATCCTTAAATCTTGACTGTTGTTTTTGGAAATGGGTGAATGCTAGGAAAGCATAACCTCTATGAGCAAGTCCATGGTTTACCCATGGGCTCCCCACTCTCTCCCATCCTCTCTGAAATCTACATGACCTCCTTTGAACAGCATGCACTCAGCACCTCACTAATCAAACCAACCTGCTGGTTCAGGAAGGCTGATGACACCTTTGTCATCCTCCCTCAAAATAACGACCCCATTGTCCTCCTCAAACACCTCAACCAACAGCACCCTCATATCCAACTCATCACAAGTTCCCTTCCTCAGTGTCCTAGTCACTCGTACCACTGACAACACTATCCAAACCTGACTACCACAAACCCACGTACACTGACCAGTACTTCCACTTTGACTCTACCTTGGCTTCATTCCCCTATATGCTTGAAAACGGTATAAGAATCTATACCGAACGTCGCCATTGTCAAAATAAAGAAGTTGATCATCCATAAAGTCCTGTAATCCCTATACCACCAAGTTCTAGAATGCCACTCAAACAAATCTACAGGTCAAATTGGTTGGTTGTTTAATGCTGCACTCAGCAATATTACAGCTATATCACGGCGGTCTATAAATAAATTCATGGGTTACAGAAGACCAATTGTAACCCACATCTTCATGGGTTACAGAAGACCAATTGTAACCCACATCTTCATGGGTTACAGAAGACCAGTTGTAACCCAAATCTTCATGGGTTACAGAAGACTAATTGTAACCCTGATATTCATGGGTTACAGATGACCAATTGTAACACAGATCTTCATGGGTTACAGAAGACCAATTGTAACCCACATCTTCATGGGTTACAGAAGACCAATTGTAACCCACATCTTCATGGGTTACAGAAGACCAATTGTAACCCTGATATTCATGGGTTACAGATGACCAATTGTAACACAGATCTTCATGGGTTACAGAAGACCAATTGTAACCCACATCTTCATGGGTTACAGAAGACCAATTGTAACCCACATCTTCATGGGTTACAGAAGACCAATTGTAACCCACATCTTCATGGGTTACAGAAGACCAATTGTAACACAGATCTTCATGGGTTACTGAAGACATTTTGTAACCCAGATCTTCATGGGTTACTGAAGACATTTTGTAACCCAGATCTTCACGGGTTACTGAAGACCAACTGTAACCCACATCTTCATGGGTTACTGAAGACCAATTGTAACCCAGATCTTCATGGGTTACAGAACACCAATTGTAACCCACATCTTCATGGGTTACTGAAGACCAATTGTAACCCACATCTTCATGGATTACTGAAGACCAATTGTAACCCACATCTTCATGGGTTACAGAAGACCAATTGTAACCCACATCTTCATGGGTTACAGAAGACCAATTGTCACCCACATCTTCATGGGTTACAGATGACCAATTGTAACCCAGATCTTCATGGGTTACAGAAGACCAATTGTAACCCACATCTTCATGGGTTACTGAAGACCCATTGTAACCCTGATATTCATGGGTTACAGATGACCAATTGTAACCCTGATCTTCATGGGTTACAGATGACCAATTGTAACCCTGATCTTCATGGGTTACAGAAGACCAATTGAAACCCAGATCTTCACGGTTACTGAAGACCAACTGTAACCAGATCTTCACAGGTGAGGACAGATCAGAGACAGTGTAGGCAGAATCTTACCTGAGTTCCTAGCCCCAGCGTGACCAGCATGGCAAAAAAGAGCACAGCCCACAGCTGAGATATGGGAAGTTTGGTGACAACTTCCGGGTACACAACAAAGGCTAGGCCAGCACCTGGAATGTACAATGTATCCTGTCTTGAATGTAACAAACACCCATTGACTGTTATAGGCCGTGCACCTGCCAGGATGAACTTCTAAGGTTAAAGGTCACATGCAACCAAAAAAATCAACATAATTAAAACACAATTATCACTTATTCATGACATATAATATACATTGCTGGTTATGAAAAAACATATAAACAAAAATTATAAGCGTACAATCGCAAATCAAAAGTGCAATATTGTGTACTTGGGTTAACTTCCCAAGAAACGAAGCAGCCGGGATACCGAACCCAGTTAGAGCGGGTGGGTGTGCACTCAAGTGTAACGTCAGGTTCATTTGCAGATGCCCTCACAGCTCATTGTGTGTGTATATATAGAGATGTTGGGTTTTGTAAATACATGCTCATTTTTTGTGTATAACATTTTGCAATCAACAGACATCATAACATGTCATGTGTTCAAGTATCACACCTGCCTGTCTGTGTAATTACATAATGTGACAGACCCAACTCGGGCCATAAATCAATGCGTTTTGTTTATGGTGTATAGCCTGATTGGTATTAAGTTCAAATTGCATGTGGTCAGTGATCGCAGTTGTGTATTGAATATTGTCATTAGCAGACAGGCAGGCAGACACACAGGTGTCAACAAAACAAGACATTGAGTTTTGTCTGTGACAACGACATATCTATATCACAGTTAAAAATTGTGTCAATGCTAAATAATGACATTGCTTTTAAGTATCGAACTGAGAAAGTGACTCGGTAAGAAGAACGTGTGGTGAAATAGACAAATGAAATTATATAAACAGTTAATTTACTGTCATAACATATAAAAAGCTCGCGCCTGTGAGATATCAACAAAACATTAGGAAAATAGCTCTCACCAAAGCCTTCACTGAGTATTCACAGGACAACCCGCTTCCAAGCTCCGCGCGAACCTATTTCACTGCGCACGTGCTACGAGCGCAGCCCAGCTGTTGAAACCAGTTTTCCCCCGAAAAGTCTGGGGAAAATTAGTGAATCGTTTGAACTTCGATTTCGCGTGGTTTTTTTCATCGCGTTATTTTTCAACTCTTAGAGTTGAATTTGCATTTTTGATGATTTGTTTTGGTAAGTCCATAAAGAAAGGTATCAGAATCTGCAAAGTTGTGTTTTACGTTGCATGTGACCTTTAAGCTTAAGTTAACCTTAACAAAAAAGTTACATCTGTTGTACAAAGCTACCCTTGGTCAACCTTACGTTGGAGGGATACTTAACCTGAACTCAAGATTTTCATAAGAAAAGTGAATGCTGTGCATGAATTGCGCTCACACAACCCTGGCTCTACCTACAGATATATAAAGACACAAAAATATTGATGACTTGTAAAATAGACACAGCTAAGTGTCGTCCAGTACCTTGTCTATGGGCTACTGTAGTGTGTGTACCCACCGTCCTGGGCTATTGTAGTGTGTGTACCTACCGTCCTGGGCTACTGTAGTATGTGTACCTACCATCCTGGGCTACCTTGTCTACAGGCTACTGTAGTGTGTGTACCCACCGTCCTGGGCTACTGTAGTCTGTGTTCCTACCGTCCTGGGCTACTGTAGTCTGCATACCTACTGTACTGCATACCTACCGTCCTGGGCTACTGTAGTCTGAGTTCCTACCGTCCTGGGCTACTGTAGTCTGCATAACCTACCGTCCTAGGCTACTGTAGTATGTGTACCAACCGTCCTGGGCTACTGTAGTCTGTGTTCCTACCGTCCTGGGCTACTGTAGTCTTTATACCTACCGTCCTGGGCTACTGAAGTCTGTGTACCTACTGTCCTGGGCTACTGTAGTCTGTATACCCACCGTCCTGGGCTACTGTAGTATGTGTACCTACTGTCCTGGGCTACTGTAGTCTGTATACCCACCGTCCTGGGCTAGTGCAGTCTGTATACCTACCATCCTGGGCTACTGTAGTCTGTGTTCCTACCGTCCTCGGCTACTGTAGTCTGTGTACCTACCGGCCTGGGCTACTGTAGTCTGTATACCTACTGTCCTGGGCTACTGAGGTCTGTGTACCTACCATCCTGGGCTACTGTAGTATGTGTACCTACCATCCTGGGCTACTGTAGTATGTGTACTTACCATCCTGGGCTACTGTAGTATGTGTACTTACCATCCTGGGCTACTGTAGTCTGTGTACCTACCATCCTGGGCTACTGTAGTCTGTGTACCTACCATCCTGGGCTACTGTAGTATGTGTACCTACCATCCTGGGCTACTGTAGTATGTGTACCTACCATCCTGGGCTACTGTAGTATGTGTACCTACCATCCTGGGCTACTGTAGTATGTGTACCTACCATCCTGGGCTACTGTAGTATGTGTACTTACCATCCTGGGCTACTGTAGTATGTGTACTTTCCATCCTGGGCTACTGTAGTATGTGTACTTACCATCCTGGGCTACTGTAGTATGTGTACTTACCATCCTGGGCTACTGTAGTATGTGTACCTACCATCCTGGGCTACTGTAGTATGTGTACTTACCATCCTGGGCTACTGTAGTATGTGTACTTACCATCCTGGGCTACTGTAGTCCGTGTACCTACCATCCTGGGCTACTGTATTCTGTGTACCTACCATCCTGGGCTACTGTAGTCTGTGTACCTACCGTCCTGGGCTACTGTAGACCGTGTACCTACCATCCTGGGCTACTGTAGTCTGTGTACCTACTGTCCTGGGCTACTGTAGTATGTGTACTTACCATCCTGGGCTACTGTAGTATGTGTACTTACCATCCTGGGCTACTGTAGTATGTGTACTTACCATCCTGGGCTACTGTAGTATGTGTACTTACCGTCCTGGGCTACCTTGTCTATGGGTTGCTGAAGTTCGTGAGCCATGTAGCCAATGATGGAGAAGATGACAAGTCCGGCGAAAACACTGGTCAGACAATCCAGGACAGACACAATGATAGCATCCCTGTCGGCAGAAACAGAAACACCTAACTACCACCTCTAATAATGATAACTACCACCTCCAATAATGATATCATCCCTGTCGGCAGAAACAGAAACACCTAACTACCACCTCTAATAATGATGGCATCCCTGTCGGCAGAAACTGAAACACCTAACTACCACCTCTAATAATGAGAGCATCCCTGTCGGCAGAAACAGAAACACCTAACTACCACCTCCAATAATGATAGCATCCCTGTCGGCAGAAACAGAAACACCTAACTACCACCTCTAATAATGATGGCATCCCTGTCGGCAGAAACAGAAACACCTAACTACCACCTCTAATAATGATAGCATCCCTGTCGGCAGAAACAGAAACACCTAACTACCACCTCTAATAATGATGGCATCCCTGTCGGCAGAAACAGAAACACCTAACTATCTCTAATAATGATGGCATCCCTGTCGGCAGAAACAGAAACACCTAACTACCACCTCTAATAATGATAGCATCCCTGTCGGCAGAAACAGAAACACCTAACTACCACCTCTAATAATGATGGCATCCCTGTCGGCAGAAACAGAAACACCTAACTACCACCTCTAATAATGATGGCATCCCTGTCGGCAGAAACAGAAACACCTAACTACCACCTCTAATAATGATAGCATCCCTGTCGGCAGAAACAGAAACAGAACTACCACCTCTAATAATGATGATACCACCTGTCGGCAGAAACAGAAAACCAACTACCACCTCTAATAATGATAGCATCCCTGTCGGCAGAAACAGAAACACCTAACTACCACCTCTAATAATGATGGCATCCCTGTCGGCAGAAACAGAAACACCTAACTACCACCTCTAATAATGATAGCATCCCTGTCGGCAGAAACAGAAACACCTAACTACCACCTCTAATAATGATAGCATCCCTGTCGGCAGAAACAGAAACACCTAACTACCACCTCTAATAATGATAGCATCCCTGTCGGCAGAAACAGAAACACCTAACTACCACCTCTAATAATGATAGCATCCCTGTCGGCAGAAACAGAAACACCTTAACTACCACCTCTAATAATGATAGCATCCCTGTCGGCAGAAACAGAAACACCCACTACCACCTCTAATAATGATAGCATCCCTGTCGGCAGAAACAGAAACACCTAACTACCACCTCAAATAATGATAGCATCCCTGTCGGCAGAAACAGAAACACCTTACTACCACCTCTAATAATGATAGCATCCCTGTCGGCAGAAACAGAAACACCTAACTACCACCTCTAATAATGATAGCATCCCTGTCGGCAGAAACAGAAACACCTTACTACCACCTCTAATAATGATAGCATCCCTGTCGGCAGAAACAGAAACACCTAACTACCACCTCTAATAATGATGGCATCCCTGTCGGCAGAAACAGAAACACCTAACTACCACCTCTTATAATGGTAGCATCCCTGTCGGCAGAAACAGAAACACCTAACTACCACCTCTAATAATGATAGCATCCCTGTCGGCAGAAACAGAAACACCTAACTACCACCTCTAATAATGATGGCATCCCTGTCGGCAGAAACAGAAACACCTAACTACCACCTCTAATAATGATAGCATCCCTGTCGGCAGAAACAGAAACACCTAACTACCACCTCTAATAATGATAACTACCACCTCTAATAATGATAGCATCCCTGTTGGCAGAAACAGAAACACCCAACTACCACCTCTAATAATGATGGCATCCCTGTCGGCAGAAACACAAAGACCTTACTACCACCTCTAATAATGATAGCATCCCTGTCGGCAGAAACAGAAACACCTAACTACCACCTCTAATAATGATAGCATCCCTGTCGGCAGAAACAGAAACACCTAACTACCACCTCTAATAATGATAGCATCCCTGTCGGCAGAAACAGAAACACTGTCTATGAACAGAAACACCCACCATTCACGTCTCTCACATGATATATTCCCTGTTCAGAAATGAGGAAACACCCCACCACCACCCTCTGAATAATAGGTCCCTGTCTATGAAATGAAACCATTCCTCATCATCACCCCCTATCAATGATAACCATTTCACCCATTGAAGTTGGTCCCTAAGTCATAAAACACCCCACTCCATTTATGAAGGTCCTGCTCATATAAAACAGGAAATGACCTAACTTACCTGTTCTATTAATGATGGGATCCCTGTTTGTCACCCAACTATCATCTCACAGAGTTATCCTGCCTCCCAAGTGAAATGAGAAACATCCTAATTTGTCACCCCTGGAATAATAGAAAGATCTGCAGAAATTAGGAAATGTCTCTACTATCAATTTCATGAATGATAATCTATCAATTCTATATATTCCCTGTTTCAGCAGAAACACCCCACACACCTCTTATTACGGCTTCCTGATTCCTGTCAGGCAGGAAATGAGAAACACTAATTGTCATCACCCCCATTAATGGATAGTATCCTATCATGAAATGGTCATTCTATCAGCCTAATTTGAATATTGATATATCCCTGTCTATGGTGGGGAGCCAGGAATCATTCCTGAATTTATCACCACTTTGATGATCCCTTGTCATGGTGAAACACATCTTGGCTTACTAAATTTCATTAATGATATCCCTGTTCTGGTGAAAACAGGAAACCATCTGACCATTCATACATGATGGTATCCTGTCTATGAGAAAATGAGAAAACACCTTATTTAACACCTCTGGCTTAATGATATATCCTATAGAAACAGGAAACACCTAACTGGTCATTCTTTAATAGACATTTATCCCTGTCAGAGAAATGACAAATGACCCTAGCTTCTACCACCTCTGACACTGACATTCCAGAAACAGAAATATTCAATCACCACCCCATTACGATGAAGGATCCTCAGAAACAGGAAACACCCGAATCACCAACTTCATGTCATTTTTATGATGAATGATAGATTTTCATATGAGTCCTTTATACTTGGCTTCTGCATGTTGAGGATTCATGCATCAGTTCATTTAGAAAAGGAGAAAATGATCACATGGGGAATAGTTTTGCTTTTGTGAAAGCTTGTTGCAGCCACCATTTGTTGAACTCATGACATGATTCTTTTCTTCTGAATTATTGAACTTTGTTTTCATAATATCAGTTCATTCTAAATAATGTCTTGAAATTATGAAGGATTTTAGAAAGAGCTTTTTAGAATAGGTTGATCGAAGTGGAGTATGATTTATACTTAGTGAGTTTCAAACTCTCTCTGATGGGTATAGATTTCTCTCATTTATTTTATTCTCCTCAATCATTCTGAAAATGTTCCCAAGATCTAACTCTCATTCCTGTAAACTTGCCCCATAATTTAACCTATGTCAAATTTATTCCTATAATTTCATCCTATACTAAATCACTCCTACACTTAAATATACCAAATGGCATCAACCTGAGTACCCCAAATTCATTCCTATGACTTAACTTTATTCTCAAACTTCATTCATCTAACTTGAGGCCAAAACTCACTCCCACACTAACTTTATTCCTATTCCAACTATGTCTCATACCAACTTGAGGCCCAAAACTGTCTTGGTCCAACTCATATATATTCCAAATCACCTCTACTCAATCCATTTAAACTGTTCCCACTTAACTGGTTCCCAAACCTATTCTATGGCCTAATTCTGAGGCCTAAATCATTCTTACATCAATTTATATTTTAAATTAATTCCTCATTCTAATTTCTAACTTATATCAACTTGCCCTATATTCCAATCATTCTAAACTATCTCTACATTTAATCCCTATTCTCAAATCAACTCTCACATCATGAGGTCTTAAATCATTCAATCTGAATTGAGGTTTAAATCATCTCCATACCCAAATCATGATGAAACTATCTCTGTTCTAAAATCATCTCTAATTGGAGGCCTGTAAAATTACACTGACCCTTATTCAAACTCATTCTCATACCTAACTTATCCCCAAACTATCTTACATCAACTTGATACTAAAATCCATCTCATGAATCCTATACCTAGGAACTACTCCCTTTATGAATCTTAACCTATTCCTAAAACTCACCCCTACACCTGGAACCTCCCATACTTTTAAACGAACTCTAGAATTTGAACTTTATACTTAAAATCCTAATTCTATACACTTGAACTCTATACCAAAATTAACCCTATGACTCCTAACTTCTATGTTCTAAAATCCCCATTCCTATGACCAATCAAACCCAATTTCTTGAAATTTTAACTCTATAATTCAACTAATTCCCTTTGTGACCTGAACTCCATACTTAAAATGTAATTCTCATGAATTTAACTGAGCACTTAAATCACTTTTATGTGAATTTAACTTTATACTAAACTTACTCCTACACTTTAGTCCTGAGGTCTTGCATTCCCTATGAATTTTGAACTCTATAATCTTAAATCCTACCTCAGACTTAACTCCTATACCAAACCTACTCCCACTTCTTAACTTCCCTAGTACCTAAACCAATTTCTATGAATTGAACCTAGAGTACTAAACCAATTCTTTGATGACTCTGTCCTATACTAAATCTAATTTTATAACGAATTGTTCCCAGACTGAATCAATGAACGTATTCCTACATCGAATCATGGCAACGGCCCCTCATCGGACCATAACAAATCACTCTACACTGAACTTTATATCAGTACCACCTCATAATGGAACTTTGATATAAAATCATTTACTGAACTTGATATTTAAAATCACTCCTGCATTCGAATCATATTTGAAATTCATTCTCTACATCTTAACTCTATACGGAATCATTCCCATCATCCTGATACTAAACACTCACACTTAACCATACCAAATCACCTCATGACCTAACTCATACCCAAACGGTTCTCACATTCTAACCTTATACTGAAATGGCCTCACATTTAAATCATCAAACTATTCCCACACTGACCACACAAAATCACACCCTATATTCTAACTGTCCCTGTCCCATACCAAACTGTCTCTGCATCAACTACATACCCCAACCC